CGGGGGGCGCCGGGAGGTGGCCCGGAGCGAGCCGCGGCGGTGACCGCAGCAGAGCGCGTGTCGCCGCGGTCCCCAAGGCAGGGCTGGTGAGGGGAGCATCCTTCAGCGAGAGCCGAGGACCAGGTGCAGCGGGGACTCCATCTCCTTCTGTCTTGGGCTGGCTGGACCTGGGCGGACGCAGTGGGCTGCAGGATGGGAAGCGAGCCTGCGGGGAACAGTTACTCCCCTTACTGACAGCGTGACGCAGCTGAGAGCTGAGTGAGACAGGTATTTCCCTCCCAGGAAGATAAGACAATTAGGAGGATGGCTAATTGAATTGCTCAGGGTCACACAGGCAGTGTTGGAGAAGCTTGGCCTTGAACGTCAAGGGTGTTTTGGACTCGGATCCTGAGCTTTTGACTACACTTAAGTCTCTGGTTGCTGAAGCGAAGAGTGGGAAATGATTTGGCGCCTGTTAGCTGCCTGTAACATATGGAATATTCTGTAAGGAAGTGCTGGTGGCGATGACAGCTTCCAGAGGTGGTTCAGTACTTCGGGCAGCAGCTCCAAGTTGTTTTCCCCTTTCATCTTAAACTGCTAGAATAGGACTGTACTGTTAGAAACTTGCTACTTTAATCAAAGTGTATTTATTCTGCCCAACTAAATTTTAAACACTTAGGCTTTAGAAAATTTTATGGTTCTATATAAATTTTAAACGTTGTTATCAGCATTTATTTGCTGATAACTAAAAATATTTGAGGGAAAGGCGATTGCTTTCCCTGGCATTGTATGGTTTTCTTTCTTTATTTCTTAAGACAGAATCTCACTCTGTAATTCAGGCTGGCCTAGCCCAGGCTGGTCTCGAACTGATGGCAGTCCTCCTGCCTCAGCCTACCAAGTGCTGGGATTACAGGTGTGCGCCACCATGCACGGATCCCTGGCATTGTAGAAAGGGCTAGTTGGGTGCCTGGTGGGTGCCAGCTGGAGACTGCCGGGGAATCTCAAGGTCCTTGTTCTCAAGGAGCTTCAAGTTTGTTGCAGTGAGACAAGTCTTGTGCCTTGGGTGACTCTGGGTTGGAGATGAATTTGCATTGCTGTCCTTGGTCTTCATAACTTCAGACAGATTTTTTTTTCTCATGGGCTCATTAGAACATGGCTGGGAAACTGATAATATGTATCGTGGGATGTGTACATAATACCATATCAAAATTGAATGAGAGACATGCCCCTTTCCTTGCAGAATTAATCTACTTTGGAAAGAGTGGCTTTAGGAGAGCATGACATCCATTCAAATGTCAGACATATTTAGCTTGCTTTCCTCCTGCTCCTCTCCCTCCTCTTCTCCCTCCTCCCCTTCTTCATTTTTGGTCCTTGTTTTATTTCAGCATAACTAATTGTTATGCTTTGAGGATGAGAATGCAAGAAAGATCTTGATTTAGAAACGCATGAACTCTTTCATGGTCTCGCATCCTGAGGCTGTGACATCTGTACTCTCTGGAGTATTCAGTTGTAGCATCTCGGTCAGTTGAGAGTGGAGTAAGGGATTTTGTAGCCCAGTCCTTGGGCCTGTGTCTGGACCGTCGCTTGGCTCGGAGAAGGTGGTGGATTCTTTTTTAGGCCTGGATATATTAAGCATATGTTCTTTTGTGTGCTGTGGATTTTTTCCCCCACTTGTACTTTTTCTGGTTTCTTTCGTCCTTTCTCCACTCCACCCACAAGACAAATTTGGGCTTTTCTGTTAGGTAGATGTTGCTGTCTTAGAGCTGGTTTTGGATGTGCCGTGTCTGGGGCAGTGAGACTAGTCCTGTTTGGGTCGTTTTACCCTGGTTAACATCCTCTCTGTTTTTCTGTGTGAAGAATGCAGAATAGAGCAGGATACAGGCTCAGGTTTAAATCCAGGCTTCACCTGAGTAGCAACTTAATCTCTTTAGGCTTTAGCTTCCTTATCTGTAATGATAGTGTTATTATGGAACGTTCACTCCATGCCACACGCTATACTACATATTTACCTCACACGGCTATTTGGAATAGTAAAAGAGATGGATGTACTTAACTTCTGACATGTTAGCTGTTATTAATATTATTATTATTATTATTATTATTATTAGTGGTACCGTGATCATTTATGAATTTGGGACCTGCAATTGCCACTGTTCGCAGACCTCAACAGCCTGGTAATGAAGGAGCAGTTGCTGGGAATGTATGTCTTTTCTCGTACCCTTTCACTAAGCCCAGGATGAAAAGATGTTTGGCTCACGTGTATGATATGAGGTTAATTAGTAACAGAAGAACAATATGACATTTATAAAGCCTGTGGAACAACTTATCTCTTAAGTATATATTTTTTTAGGTCATTTTAAAGATTGAAAGCCAAACTGCAGGGAATAACAGAGCATAATGTTATTGTTACAGTTTCTTTTATTACTTGTGATTTAGAGGGATTGTGCCTCTGGATAAACTAATCTATGATATGAATTATTTACCCTTAGTTATAGTTACCTATTCCAGAGTGTGTGTGCATATATATACTATAGTATAGTATAGTGTATGTTACAGGGTAGTGTATGTTGTAGAATATTTTCCTGAAAACATTTGGGAATGGCATTATAGTATATTTAGGACTTTAGCGAATTGCTCTATACCATGTTGGAAATGATATTTAGTTGGCATCCTCCATCTCTCCTGGAGGAAAAGCAATGCGGAAAGCTTGTTTATGTTGGTACATTACGAAATCAATGCCCTCTTCTGTATTCTTTCCAAATCTTTCATTGATTAGAAATCTGAAATCAGCAGGGATGGAGTGAGTGGTCACTGCTCTCAGCTTTGAAGCACGGGTTCGATTCTAGCTTCTCAGCCTGACTATGATCTAAAGCAAATCAGAGAACTTCTTATACTTTCTGTTGTTTTCTTTCTGCAGATACCCAGAAAACAATATAATTTAGGACTTCTTTGGTCAAACCATGCAATCTATAATAGTTAAGCTGAGGTTTGTTTTTGCAGTAGCTGAAAACAATATATTAGTGGAAAAGTAAATATTTATCATACTCTAAACGTTGGTCGGGAACTAGTCCTACTCTGCTATGTTCTTTCAAAGGAAGGCGCAGCAAACAGCATGGTAGCTCTGACTCCTTGTGTGCTTGCTTGTGTATTTCAGAGATGTTGCGGCCAGGTCAGAGTTCTGGGACCTCACACCACCGATTTTAGATACTGCTTCACTGTCTTCTATATTGCTATGGAAAAATCAGCCTGATTTTGTTCCCATCCTTAGAGATTTGATCTTTTTTTCCCTTGTCCTGGCTGCTCATAGCATTCCTTCTTTGTCCTTGAAGCCCAATGACCATACTAGGGTATGTTTCATTATTGATTATTCTGTATTGTATATTTTTGGCCTTTGTCTACCTTTTACTGTATAGTTTTAGGTCTTGCTTTATTGCAGGTACCTTTTTGTAGCTCCTTCTTTTTTTTTTTTTGGTCTTTTTGAGACAAGGTCTCACTATGCAGTTCAGGCTGGCCTTGAGCTCACTTTGTAGCCCAGGCTGGTCTCGAACTCGCAACAGTCCTGCTGCCTCAGCCTCCCAAGTGCTGGGATTACAGGCGTGTGCCACCACGCCCAGCTATATCTCCTTTTATTTTTGTTTTGTTTTTGAGACAGAGTTTCACTATATAATTCAGGCTGGCTTTGAATTCACTATGTAGACCAGGATCCTCCTGTCTCAGCCTCCCAAGTGCTGGGATTACGGGCCCAGCTTGTATCTCCTTTATTTTATAGTTAATTTTACTGGTACATTTTATATATACATTTTATCATAGGAAGTTTGTACCTGTGTATGATATATCTTAATTCTTTTTTTCCCCACTCCTCACCCCTCCCTTCCTTTCAATACTGTTTTTGGTTCTTTTCTGTTCTCTTTAGTTATGCACGTGCTCACCTTTGTTCTTTAAATCAGTCTTTTAAAATGCCTTGTTCACCAGGCATGGTGGCCCATGCCTATAATCTCAGCACTTGGGATGCTAAGGTAGGAGGGTCGCCACAAGTTTGAGGCCATCCTAGGCTATACAATAAGATCAAAGCCAGCCTCAACTACATAGTGAGAACCTGTCTCAAAAGAAAAACAGAAACAGAAAACACCTTGTTCATTTCTCTAGGAGCATAGAGGTAGCCAGTGCTGTCTAGAACATGAAAGACAACAGTATGTCTTCCTCAAAGTGTTGTTACAGAGATTCTAAGAGATTTCAGAGGGCTTGGGAGTGTTCCTAGTAAGTGCTCAAAACATCCAGCCTTCGTGTTACTTCATTGTATTTTGCTTACATTGTCACTGCTGTATGCTTTATGTTGCTGAGTCTGATTCTAATAAGAATTATTTTTTTCTCAAATTGCTTTATTATCATCGTCTCTTGTCTTCCTGGCTCTGCTTATTTACTTTTCTTTTTTTTTTTTTTTTAATTGAACTGCCAGGAAACGTTATATCTTTCTATGAGCCCTTATTTCAGAGAAGACCATTTTCTTTAATTTCCTAGACTCCCTGGGGAAGCAGCTGTTCATTATTTCTTCCATTTTATGGTAGAATTGGTGCAGCTTTGATTCTTTAACTGATTTTGCTTGCCATGTCTTGTCACCTCACTCTTGAATATTTGCAGAACTTTGTGGTATTTTGTGGAATGGATGTGGATAATACTTCTTTCTGATTGTTACTCGTATTTAAATGCGAGTAGATGTTTTATAAAGAGCTGTTGGCTAACACATGGGGCAGAGGCAGGGGCCT